AATAATTCCAGCCTTCCCATAGAAGCTGCAGAAGGCTGTTTGATTCCTTTTGCTGTTTTGAGGAGCCTGTAATTTGATTGTAGAAAACAGAACAAATGGAAGCAAGATTTCCAGTCTTAGTCTTGTGAAACAGGTGTAACTAATCCTTACAGTCATTGTGTGTTCTTAAGGGTGTGCTATATTCCCAAGGGTGTTTTGAGGTAGTGCTGGGCTCTGTTGGAGAGTAAATCCTATGAAAAGACAGTGAGGGAAGAAGAAATGGGCACAGAGGAAGGGGTGGCCAAAATGTAGGAATACTGACCCTGGGGAGAGGATAGAGGGCAGTGCTTAGAGTTTTCTGGAAGAGCTACAGTCCCAATATTCAGAATAGGAGCAGAAGTCAGTTGCCTGACCTAATTTCTGAAAATTTCACACAGTAGGTCTTTGAGCATATCAAAGAAACAATTGCGCTTTCATCAGTTCTGAAGAGCTGAACAGCATCAACTGGGTCATGGTTTTACTGGGGCAGTCCCAAAGAGGGTTCCGAGAGAAGATCTCCGTCCTGAAAAATGCTGAAAAGCTGCTGTTTCTATTGAGGTTCAAAGCCTTAGCAAATGGTCAAAGGCTCTGGTTTTTGCTCAGAGGGTGATGTGTTGTCAGAGGAGCCAGTGTTTACTAAATTAGCATAATAGTTTGAGAAGTGCTGACTTTAAAGTCTCTGGAAAGCCTGGGTCTTGAGTTACCCATGGAAATGAAACTCGGTTGTATGTTTTGCTTCAGGCTTTTGATAGCTTGAAAACTAAGCCCCGAAATTCCCTGGCACTTACAAAAAGAATAGATATGATAATTTCAGTGTCTTAGCTAAATCCACTGAGTAATTGTATTCAGCTTATCAAATTTCTCCGCTCTCGTGAGAGTTGGTTGAGATAGTCTCAGTTTTCTTTTTTCATGCTGCTGTTTGGTTTTGCTGAGTGGTGTTAAATGTGTTGCTGTTCTTTGAACCTGAAATTACTGCATCTTGGTACTAACTGAAATATTCCAGAGTATACTTATGGCTTGCAAATTGCTTTGACATGTTTAAAAATAGGCAACCATTGTTTCATTATATTTTCATCATATTATGAGGAAATTTTCATAAAATCTTGATTCTTGTTTTAAAATGTACTTGAATAGGCCACTTATGAATTCTTGTTCTGAGATTTTTCAGATCAAAGCAGAAGACAGATGAACCTGACTTTGTATAAGATACAGAGATGAATTCCCTTAACTGAATTAAGCTTGTTCTGTGGGATCTGGGATAGATAAAAAAAAAAAAGTTTAGTGCTTTGTCTACATAGGTAGTTTTGTTGAGATTGTTGCATTGCTCCACCTGAAAGGACCTCCCGACCTATTGCTTTAGCTCTACAAAAGTCGAGGCAAGTCATGCATTTGAATCTTAGCCCTCTATTGGTTAAAATGGTTTGAAATGGTCTACTGCAGTCACACTTGAGAACTGTGTATTCAGTATGTTAAGATTAGAATACTGCATGTATCTTTACAGATTTTAGGCAAATTTTCAAGAAGAGATACGAAATGTATATGTGTGTGTATATATATCTTAAATATGTATTGACTGTATATATATATATATATATATATATATGTATTTTATTGACTGGATGTATGTATTTTGATTCCTGTACGGTTTTGCTTTTTTCTTACCTCAGTTTGTGTTCTAAGTGACCAAGGTGGGTGTGTGTTGAGGGTAAATTGCATATTTGGTGGAGGGAAAGACAAACTGTAGAGGGCAATAGCTGTTTTGGTGAAGTATTAATTAAACAGTGATCAATTAATTAATTTACCAGTGATCCCCACTGCTGTGCTGTCTATGGAACTGTATGTGTGTTTTCATCCCTTCCCAGTAAATATCAGAAAAATGGATAAGGACCAATTATCTCCATCCCCCCTCTCTCTTCAGTAAGAAGGAATTTCAGATTCCACCTGCTGCTGGTTGAAATAGAAATTTGCCTTTTTGTACAAAGTCAACTCTTCCAATGCTGTGCTTAACAGATTTTGGACTCTACAGCATAAAGAAGAGTGCAGCCAGCTTTTATTCTCTAAAGCTTGTTTTGGAATCATGAGCCAGTGTTAGAATCGAGTTTCCTTTCTCTGTAATACTGATGGTCTGAAATTTTTCAGTGTGAGCCCAAAGCAACAAGGAGATCCCAGCAGATGGGTTCCTCTACATCTCTGGAAGGACTGTGAGGATTGTGGTTGTCCACATTTGAGAAGAAGATTTATTTCTAGTGAGGTTACGTGCCTGGTCTGTTGCACAAGCCGCAGCCTGGAGAACCGATGGCCTGAGTTTCCCCTTCTTCTTAGTACCTAGCTGGGAACTAGCAGGGTTCCTAGTAGGGACCAGAGGTGCCTGCTGTCATGCCTCTGTGTAGCTGAGTAAACCAGCCTTCCTGCATGGTTTTGTGGTGGTGCATGATTCCAGAAAGGAATGTAAAGTAAAGCAGACCAGAGAGAACAACAAAAACCTCATTTTCATTTACTTGTGTGTTTCATTATATGCATAAAACTTCAAGGTCCTATTTCTACATTCTCCTAAATTATTTTCTTTATTTTGATAATATTGTAACAAATTGAAGAAAGCAGTTGGCAATGGCCAGTACATATTCACTAGCTTTGTTTTTGAATCTACTGTACATCTACTCAGTATGAGGATAAGTTTAATAGCCAAATAAATGTGAACATCTTTTATATGATAAATATAAAACGATGAAAATTGTCCAGTATACTGAAAGTATAATGGAGGATTGTATCATGGGCTCCTGGCATGATACAATAGCAAGCAATCTGCTAGTGAGGTGTTAAGTAGAAACACTTCCCCCACCCTTAGGTGAGATGATACACAGAGCTAGAGACTGGAGACCTTAATTTTGCAAACATGAAATAACTTTAGGTAACTTGACATTAAATATGAATGTTGAAATCATTTTCAACATTATAGTAAGTAAGTAGAACACATCCATTAATTGAGTAATTCATCGTATATTGTGCCAATTCACTTGCAGAAATAAGCTGAATAGTTGCAGAAGCTGAAAATCACCTTCAAGTGAAGGTGACGTTAAATTTGCAGGGAATAACTCTAACAAACATCATCTCTACTGTTTCCTTTCAAATATTTAGGAATGCTAAATAATCCTTGGGAAAGATATGTATTCTTTGAGACTACTGGTCCATTTTAAAATTAATCAACATCTGCTAATTGGACAGCTTGATTAAAAATATAATGTGTCCCAAGTATGTTCTGTGGCAAGCAACTTTAAAAGCATTGATCTTCACTCATAAATTTCTCATGGTGCTGTCCAAGAACTGATATATCTTAAAATATTGATGCAAGCAAACGTAAGTGGTAGGAATTTAAAGATGGTATTTGGCTCTGTAGGATCCTTTACTGTAAGGAACCATGTCTAATGTGCATGTATCGAGATTCTGGTGGAGATCCTACTACTGTATGTGTGTTTTCTCATGGGCAATAGTGAGATTGGTTTTTGGGAGTTGGCATGCTAAGATATCATTTTAGCTTTATGTTTCTGTCAAGTGTTTTACAAAATAGGGTTGTATGTTATTTCTGGGGTTAACTACAAGGAGGTTAACATATATCAGAAAGTAGTAAGAGCCTAGTCAAGCATTGGGTTTTTATTGAATTGGCATCAAGAAGAAGGGAAGGATTTTGAAAAATCAGAGAGTTGTAGGAGAATGAAGAAAAAACACTGAAAAATCAGTGATAAAATAAAGGAGTAGAAAAAAAGATGACAAAATGTAAAATGACAAAATCAGATATGTGAGAAGAAGGAAAGGGGGCACAATCATCTCAGTCACCCAGACTCTTTGCGCAGGTTAAGGCTTCCCTTTTATAAATGGGAAATCTTAACTTTAGTGAAGGGGCAACTGGATGTACGAGATGAAGAGAAGTGATGCACTACAAATGAACAGCAAAAAACAGAAAGGTGAGAAGGAAGGAAGAGTCTAAATTGGTGAAAAAATAACAACCCTCAAGCAATTAGGTTGCCTCATGGGAGCAATATTGAAATGGGCAGGGGAAACTCATTCTGGAGAAGACAGAAATAAGGCAAAACCGTTCGGATGGAAATGAAACAAGGCAAATGAATTGACTTGCACTACTGTAACAATCCCTTAGGATTTTCTGCACTGTACTATAATGGTTCATGAAAAGTACTGGTAATTTTTGGTCAACAGCAATGAAGTTATAAAACCTTAGCTTGTGTGATAAAGTATACTTTAAACATATGTGGAGATGAGAATTTTAAGAATCAAATAGTTCTCGCACAAAGTCTAGTACTGCCAAATCTGGAATTTCTCCTCATTTATTTATAAAGGTGATACATTTTTGGAGTTGATGTTTTAAATGTTTAACTTCTGAGATAGTATAAGTTGGTTATCACTTGAGGTAGAGCCAGTAATTCAGATTGAGATGTATTTTAAGTAAGCACATCAGTTCTAATCAAAGTAAACAATAAATTATATGAATAAATGTAGCTTCTGAAAAATATTTTTGCTTCAAAACATGACAATGTTTAAACATCGTCAGTAGTGTCAGTAACCAGAGCCATTGTACGCTCTATGTATTCAGTGTACATAATGAAATGGTGTGATAATGTATATGTAAATATCAATCTGGAACTTTCATGACAGACATTTTCTTCTTCTTTTAGGGCACCTATGATAACGGAAATTGGTTCCTATTATTTTGATTCATTTTTGCAGAATATTTTTTGCTAATGAAGCACAAAAGAGCACAAAAAAGTTTACGTTTGTATGGAGGAAACACATGTTTGTATGGAGAAAATATTCAATATTCAGTTCTTGTCTGTGATGTTGTCTCATACAGTATATAGTATTAATCGTAGCAAAAGGTGATTCGCTTTTGGAAGACAAGCAAATAATAGATAAGAACACACCATTAATTACTAAGTGAACGGGTTTGTTTATTTTGTTTTGCCATTTTCCAGGTGCAGTTAAAAACCAACATTTCAAGTCAGTATGTAATTCGTACACAGCCAACAAACACCTGTCTCTCTACCCTTGAATGTGCAGCTATTGCTCTGACCATTATGGAAAAAAATAAGAGTATACAAGAGGTATGTAACTAATTTAAAATATTTTTTTTTCTGTTATGAATAGCACAGGGTTAGCAAAGTTGGTATTAATGTTATATTTGACAAATCAAATCTTAAAAGCTATATAATGGTCATGTTTTATAGCAAACTAAAACAAAAGTGTACTAATAAAAGCGATTTTCTGTTGGGTATTTATGAACTCTGTAATATAGTCAAATTATTATGACTGTCCCCTGTGATGTTTCAGAGTATCTACACTCATCCTAAACTTATTCTACATTGCAGTCAAACTCTTGAGAGAAATTTTAAGATTAAAAAGCTCTTGATCTTTATTTTGATATTTTTTTCAGTGCATTAAATTGTACTTATATACCTGTATTAATAATGGAATTTGAATGGCTTCTTTTGTTATGAGGAGTTGTTTGAAGATAAACTTGGGCAAGACTCAGGGATAAAAATCTTGCTTGGGTTATGTTTGAAGTACTTAGTTAGCGTGTATATCCAGTAACAAAATGTGTTTGGTGTTGGTGTGACCTCAGGGGTGAATGCAATGTTCAGTGTTTATCTAATGGATCAATCTTACCTCAGGCAACATGTTTGAGTATGGAACAATAGATTAGTTACTGAAAATGACTGCGTTGCCAAGTGCCACCTCTGTTTCTCTGTTTTTCTCGCATCTGTCCCAGAACAGAGAGAAGCACTGTTGTGTGTGCATAGAAGAAGCACTGTTGAGTGTGTAGCAGAACAAATAAGAATGTGGCTTAAAGATGTTTCTTCTTGTCATGGTTTTCCTGAGTTCACTTGATGCTTTTATTGCAATATTTAGAAACAACTTAATGTAATCTGTGTTCATGGCATTTGTAATATACTGAATTGCAGTAAGTTGTTGATACATTTTTAACATTTTTATTTGCTTATTTCATATCTCATCATTTTTATACCTTATCAAAAGCTTTTTTATGTACTAGTTTAACAAATTGTATGCTTAATTGTTGTAATGTATAGAATTTACATACTGTGTTCTTATGTTAATGAAGTAGTATTCGCTCTAAGACTATGATTAGTATTTTATATCAACAGAAATACACTAGTAAAATTATCAGATTATAGGCTATTATCATTCTGTCACATAGCTTCCATGGAGCCAAAAATGTGTGTTTATTTAGTTCATTAGTGACTCAGTGGTACTCAATAATGTGACAAATCCAATGTTTGCAATGGCATTTATGCTGATCTTGAAAGCTTTATACCTCTTGGCGTTGTAATACTTCCTTATGTTAGATAATACCTACAGCACGTTAAAGCTAGTCTTTTCATCCTGTAAATGCTACATCCTATATACACACAGATATATATATATATATATGTATGTATATATATGTATAAACAACCCTCTCTCCCTTAACAAGGTTAGTTTAATTTGAGTACAAAATAGAACCATTTAAGTTTTCTGTTATGAGTAGCTATGTAGTCTAATAACAGGGAATAGAATTGTGTTAGTTACCACCAGAAAATCCCAAGAGCCTTTAACTAAAGTAGCTTTGGATAGAATTTTTTTGAAAGAAAAAGTATTTCCACAATTTAAGGAAATTTAAAATTTGGAAACTAGCATCAGTAAAGATTCTTTTCTTCATAATTAGAATTTTCAAATGCTTAACTGACTTTTTAAGTTTACAGGTAACTTGCTTAGCTGTGATCTGGTTTTAAAAATACTGGACTGACAAATCTAATTGAGAATGGTTGCAGTTAGAATCTTAAAAAGTTAATGCAGTGGTCTGCTATGATTCATTTCCTTAGTAGATATTGTTGGTTTCCTAACACTGAAGTCAAATAACTTATTAATAGGTAAATACTTTTAAATGATCTTCTAAATTCAAAGCACAGCAAGATGCTCTTTAGCTCTCAGAAAACAGAAGCTGGTCTATCTCAAGATGGGCAGTTATGTATTACTACATGGAAAGTATTATATTTTTCTTTCTGAATACATCCTGCGAGATGAAGACTGAAGACAAAGTAAGCTTTGTAAGCTTGTCCTGCTGATTGCCAGCACCTTAGACAGGGAACACAACCTACTGGCTTGCATATTCGTTCTTACTACTCCATTACAACTGTTCAGTGTCGCTGGAGGAAGATGGAATGTAACTAAGTTTATTCCAAATTTAAGAATACTTGTGTTATAAACCTTTTAGAAATGAACTAAGAGGGGCTCTATAGAAACAAGTTTAAAGCTAATCCATGTAATCCCTACACTCTAGTATCTGTTGCAGGTCTTCATATTCTCCGTTACAATAATAAATAGTTAATGTTTTGGTACTTGATCCTCAAAAAGATTGCTTTTGCAATTGCCGTTATGTAGAGTAGACCTTTCCTTCCCTTTTCTTCTTCAGCAGTGTTTCACCTTTTTTTAAGGATGATGGGAGAATACCGTAAGCGATTGTTGTATTAGAGTCACCTGAATGCTAAATTAATCATCTTTCTAACAAAATTATGATGCAATGAGTGACCATACAGGAAAACATGGCTCAGAAATTTGAAATATGGATAAAGAAACTTTCTTAAAAACTTGTGTGCTTCTATAGTTTTATAAGCTAATGTATGCTTTTATGCTGAAAGAAGGTAGTTATTTCAGAAGTCACATGCAAGAAAAATGAGAAATATTGAAATTAAGGTGGGATTTCCATATTTAGTATTATTTCCCTTGGTGTGCTAGGACGATGTTGGCATAATATTACCTCATTAGGGCTGCTGTCTCATACATGCTCAGGATGAGTATTTCCTTAGTGTGTACAACTCCATCCTGCACTCTGTTTTGCACTTGGTTCCAACCTGCCTCTCAAAGACAAAACTGTCTCAGGAGGAATTCTACAAATGTTACAATACAAGAGAATTTCATAAACATTGGTGAACTCTCAATAACCTCTCTGAATTAAGTTAAAGTTGTTATTACCAGCATAAAAATGCTTCATTGAGGTCCAGAAAAATGAAAGTTAGAATAAACGATTAAATTGGTGCCAAGTATAGGTCACTGAGCTTTTCACCGTATGGAACATCATGTTTTTTTGATTAAATTCAGCTTCTACTGACTTAGTTTCATCTATGATTGGTCTACACATCTGCACATCAGGCCCAGTAATAAGCCAAGCATCCAGAAAATTAAAAAGCTTCAATTAGGAACCATTTGAGATAAGTTTGTTTAATTAGACTTATGTAATATCACTGGGGGCAAATAGAGATGAATTCCAGAAACTATAATTAATCCGTGTTTTTAATAATAGTACTGAAATACGAAAGCTGGAATAAGTGATTCCTCTGTCATGACTTCTTAAGAAGTTGGGTTTTTTGTCTCCCCCGTTTTTCTGCAGACTATACTCCGTCCACTTCAAGCATTGTGTTCTTTCCAGCTTCAGCATGGTGCCCAGATCCATCACAGCAAAGAGCATCTTCTCAGAAATGGCCTATATGACAAGCCCATGCCAAAGAATAAACGCAAACTCAGAAGAATGCAACTTTTGGTAAATAATGTTAAAATATAAGAAAACTATGCTGATAATACAATGGGATTTATTTGAAGCTAGCAAATTACTGATTCTGGACTTAATCCAAACAGCAGTTTTTACTGGATGACTTTTCATTCTGCAAAAGATGAGGTGCCTTTGTTCAGAAGTTAAAAAAGCGTTCTTATTTCCCAACTAAGAAAAAAATCTGAGAATAATTCAAAATTATGTTATCTCGTGCTTGAAAAGTGACTCAGCATGACTGGATAAATGTACTTTGGAGAACCTTTTGGCAGTACTGAAAGACAAGGTATTTGAACATAATGCAGTGGTAAGGCTTCAACATTTAGAAGTGTGTTGAATTTATATTGAAAAATTATAATATTTAGATACAATACATTTTCAAACTGTAAATTCATTATTTAGTTCACCTGAACAGAAGACAATTTTGTATAATTTTTTTAAACATTGAGACTTTAATTTCTTACACTATTAGAATTTCCTTTTGTAAATTTATATGCATCTTATTATGTCAGATTTAGTTTGTTTCTCTGATGTGAGATCATATATATATTTTTAACAGAACCTAGACACTTCCAATTTAAATTGGAAGAATGGGGATATTGAATGTAGAGATATGATTATTATAATTACAACTGAAGTTCTTCACATTTTAGTTGAGCAAAACTATTTTTACCTGCATAGGGAGGGAAGATATGGATATATATATGTGTGTATATATATATATATCCCTATTCTTATGTTACAACAGGTACAATGTTAAAGGGATTAAACAAGCCTAATGTGAGCAGTCCATTTGGAAGTATCACATACTGACAAACGACTATTTCTGAATACAGGCTGCTAACATGTTTGCAGATCCATTAGATTCTTTAGTTCTTTAGATCCTTTAGTGAGTTTTTCATTTCCATCCCAAATTTAACTGTACTTCTTTATAATGAGAAGCACTAGCAAGCAAAAGAATTGTGTTTTTCTTTGAGCTCTGTAAAGTAACATTTTTTATGATCTGAAGGAAAAGAAAGGTGAAATAAAAGCTTGACATTCCTTCATGTTCATAAAGGCCTCCTTCATGAAACAGATTAAAGGCTTAGTATTTGTCTTTACTATCAGTTTCACTCTAACAAACACCATAGAGTTAATCAGGTTCTAATTAGTCAGACCACAGAGATTTTAATTTATGACCAGCAAGGAAAGAAGCTATGGAAGTCGGGGTGTAAACAAAGCTCGCTAATATATTAACCTGAAAGCGTTTCTGCAGTTAACAGCAGAGGTCAAAATTAGGTCAGAGATTAGCTAGTAAATTTTAGCTAACCCTGAGCTGACAGTGACCTTTCATTTAGGCATGGATTAACAATTCGATTTGTCTGTGTATTTAGCTAAGTTTGTATAACCTTGTTCTCTTCTTCTGGCCTAGATAAATCCTGTATCTTTTACTAATATCAGTAAACCTGAATTGGTTTTGACAAATCTGAAGCAAACAGTCTAATGTGATTAATTGTAGTGTGGGTTTGCTCAGCACTGGGGTGGAGAAAGGGCACCGTTATTCCCATAGTGTAGGAGCACAGTGCAGGAATACACGAGCTGAAAATATTTAGTCTCGTGCAGTTTGTGTGTGCATGGGGTGTGTGTGTGTGTGTGATGCTGCCTCCTGCTCCAGGGCTGGTTCTGAGGTGCAAATCTGTTTCTCCATACTCGGAGACATGGAATAGACATTTTCTGTTAATGCCATGCTTACCCTTTTGGAAGAAGTTTCTGCTTAATGTTATATCTGTTAATTTGGTTTGCCGTGCTTTAAACTCAACTGGAACAGTAGCACGTCCTTCAACCTATGTTGTGAAGGTTATTTTTCTAAACAGAGGCAAATTATGTCTTTTCATAAAATATGAACTTGTGAGAAACAAAAATAAATTTATATTACTACTTGGGTATAAGACATCTGCAAAATTTCTTAGGACTGCAGCATCAAAAATAGTTAATTGAGTTATAATCCTGCATTAAATTATTTTGTATGCATAATCTGTGAGTTCAGAGGTTTCATGTCATTCAGCAAAGGGCAAATTTCACAGTACTCCTGTAAGCAGACTTTACCAAAGTGAATAGTCTTGGTTGAGATTGTTACTTTATTTTCTCTTGTGGTTAACAGGATTTGTAGGTTTGAAGTGCTGGGCACATGGAAGCCTTTAATTGCTAATTCCTTATGTTGTACAATAGCAGAAGATCATCTTTATGCAGTAGTTGCTGAAGGAATGAAAATCAATTCACTGTTAATCTCCAGGCATTTTGTTTTTTAGAAGTGACCATTTAGGTTTGACCATCTAGGTGCAGCACAGTAGTCATATGAAATTCAGTCCCAGATTAAGGATTTGTTTGATGCTATTCTGAACACACTTTTTTTCCCATAATTTTTGGAGAAACTTATGTGGCTTTAAAAATATATGTATAATAGAATAATGTGTTTAAGAGTTTAGAAAGTGTTTTCAAGTCTTTTGGATTCAGGAGTTACCTCTAAATTATCTCAAAGAAATGTGTATTCTTTTCTGTTAGAAAGAGATTGCGTTTAAAGAAGTAGTAATCTTTGCAAGCATTTTCATTAGAATGAATTATTAACAGTTTTCTTTTATTTTGTGCTTTAATGGTCAGTCTGTTTCAGGTTTTACTTATTGAAAGATTAATGAGTCAAAAGCAGCAGTCTGACAAGATACTGAATAAAAAGAACATGAGTTTGCTTTGTTCACTCCTTTGTCCGTGTTCACTTCGTACTTCCAAATACTGAAATCTGCCTTCCGTGTCATGATATGGGGGGCTCAGGGAATTTCAGCTGAAAGATGGTGTTGAGGTACTATCAAGCAGTTTCTTTTTATTAATTTTCTGTTAATAAAGTAAAAAAAAAAAATCTAAATGTTTAACTGACTTTAGAACGGACAAAAATTATTTTTAAATAACAAGGATCTTCTTCTCAACTGAGGTTAAAAATGATTCATATGTGCTTTGAGTGTTCCTGTTTTTTAAAAAAATAATTAAAACTGAACTTTTAAAGGTGTGATGGCTTATGTTTTTCTTTTGAGTCTTTTTGATCATACCTACACAAATTAATGTACATAAGTTACGTACTTGGTTTTGCTTTGAAGGCATGAAAGATCTGTTTTAGTATGATCATGTGTCACTGCTTTTACACTGAATTAAGGTGGTGCATATGTGCTATTATCACAAGAATGTAAGTCAAATCCAGTGCTGTGCCTTTTATGCATCACTAATTCTAGTAAGAGAAGTGGCTGCTCTTGTGCCTTTCTGGAGAAAAAGGTCGTGTTATGCATCAAGACCTGCATGAAGAGTAAAATTATCTGACTACAGTGCTCAAACTTTTCAACTTCAGCGCTCCCTTCTTGCTATTCGCACTGCTTGCTGCCTTGTATTTCTCACCCATAAGCCTGTTTGTGTTCCCATACTCTAACATCGCCCAAGTGCTGCATCTCCAATACAGTGTCCCCTTGAGACCTCATGTTCCTCATGCTTACCCTTTCCTCCCCCAGATTCTCACCCTCAGGTTCCAACAGAGCTGGTTCTTCCCTCGTGCAGCCTTTCCTTGTGCTCTCCCTTTTTGGTGTTAGTCTCAGGGCTGTCCTAAGAGCTTGGTTTATTGGAAGCTATGTGCCAAAGCATGTGCTTTGCTTTACTTGTTTAAAATGCACTGAAGTATTCTTTGCACCATTTATTTTCTGAAAGAGGTTTATCCATTTTTTGTATGAGAAGACACATTTGCCACGAAGCAACAGAAAAATTCCTGTACCTATGGGGCAGCGATGCTTGTAGCACAGTTATTGCTTACGTATATATGTATGCGTGTGTGTGTACACACATAGCACTTGGTCTGGGTGGACTGTGCTTGCCTGCACCCTGTACGTCTTGTGTGATGGGCTCAAGAGCAAATGCTTGCAGCTTTGAGCTGTTCTCACTGCCTCTGTAAGTTATAACTAGAAAACTTAGTAGTAGCAGACCACATGTTCCGCTGAGGCCTTGAGTGAGGACAGGTGACAAATTTTACCTGTTAGAGTGAATGGAAAGTGGGATTTCCTATGGCATGTGAAGGATTCTTCGAGCAAGGTCAGCTGGTCTCAAATGTTGGGATTAACTCTTGATAAAGATGCACACTCTTGTGTACATAAATATTTAAAGCCTGTTAAGACCAATGTACTCCATGTGTTAGAGTAGTGGAACTACTTACAGAATTTGGCAAATTAATAATGTATACCTGTTGTTGCATAAATACATACATATCAGTTCATTTGTTTACAATATATGAATTATTGATGCTTAATACCAAATATTAAACACTTTCTTTAAATATATAATTGTTTTACCTTTATAGTAAATAATGGTAATTGCTTTTAATTTTATGTCTTCCTTTCTCTGCAGGAGTTCTGTGAACATTTTAAAATACAATAGATGGTTAGGTGAAAGACATCTGTTTTTTTTTTTTTTTTTTTTTTTTTTAATGGGCATGTTGAAGAATGGGCCGTATGCTTGTTGTAATTAAATCTTCGCCGAACTAAGGTCTGTGTTTGAACTTCTTCCATAATTGTTAGGAGTAGGCATTGAGGAAAAGCAACACTATAGTATATTTATCAAGTTATTGTAGCTTACTGTACTGGAAAATTGCTTCTAAGTGATTTTTAATTTTGTACAAAATGCAGTTGTCCTGTTCTTTTCTTTGCTGGGATGGCTTAAGACTGTCTAGATGTGCTTGTGTAAGCCAAACATAAAATTGGTATCATGAGGAAAACTAAACCCACATGAATATTATTTATGTGATTTTCCTTAGAAAAACTGGATGGGTTTACTATTTGCCTAAGGGTGTGTATGGAGCAGGATTTTATCTGTAATCTTATTGAATATAATGAAATTAAGCAAAATTCATCGTTGTGTCATTCTGAATTGTATGGATAATGGCAGTTATTAATAGGAGGTGATGATAGTCAGATATTAGGTATGAATACTTTTGTAACTCTTACTCAAAAGAATTTTCTTTGTTTTTGGAGAAATGTGCTATTAGAGAAAATACGTATTTTGATTGATGTTAGATTCTTGTTAT